GAAATCCTGCTATACCACCAACAGTTGTAATATAGTGCGAAATATAAAGAATGTGTTTTTAATTTTAGGGGAGGAGGGAATTGCACTCTAAGGCTTGCTATGTGAAAGGGATCACCAGCACAAAAAATTGAGAACCACAGTGTAGATTATGTGAAAGTTCACCCACCACCATCTGTGTGGGGCAACAGTTACGCTAAACAGTGGTGTGAATTACATTGGGAATAACTACACTATTTATTCTTAGCTGGCCATAGCGGTGTGCAAACAAATGATAGTTCACTCATGAACTAAGCTTTCAAGCATTTTTTTCTCAAAACCTCGTTGAAAAAAATTGATGCGCATGCCCCAACATAATTATATCTTTTGACCCAGTGGAGGGGCTGGAATGAGAGATCGGGGGTACAGGAGGGGATCATGCTCTTGGTTGGGTATGGGCCTACTTCCAGTGGATCCTGGTCAAAGGTGAAGTGGGGGTGCTATTGCTTGCTGCCTCTCTTGGCACCACAGACCACACTGCCTTGGAAGCAGCCAGAAGCAGGTCTGGTTCCCAGGTGGAGGCATACAAGCAGCTCTGCACACTACTTTTGCCTGCAGACACAGATCAGGAATTGGCCAATGAGAGTAGGACGCCAGTGCTCAGGGTGGGGGCAGTGTATGGAGCCCCTTGTCTCCTGTCCCCCAGGAGCCTGACCTGCTGTTGGCCACTTCTAGGATGCAGCATAGTTTGCAGCATCAGGACAGACAGGAAGCCTGCCTTATAACCGCCACTAGTCACTGGGTCATCCTACAACAAGGTAGCCCAGTGTCTGACATTATGTGACCCATAGTTTGAAAAATGAAAATTAGCATCCTGTAGGAAGCTATAAACTTGGTAGTTCAGTGGTTTTCAGTCTATTTGAGACACTGGCCTGTTCATGCACACATAATTCTTAACTGCACCCAAGGTGGCAGTTAATAGACTGTTTGGGATGCCAAACCTTATTCTCCTCTCCCTGTTTTTTGTGTGGGGGAAGGCTAACGGGATGTATAAGGAGAATGAATAAGATTTTTCTATCTACTTTTTTACCAATAATGAAATATCTATGAAAAACTGTTCCTTTACTTAGAATTTAAAGGCAGTTAATGGTTAATTGTGGAGCATGTAAAAGTGTTACGCAAAGTTGCTGAACTCCTTCAACTGGAATGACAGAATATTTTAACCATTTGACATTTCATTCAAGTTTACTAAAGACACATTCAGCATTTCCAGTCAATTCTGTAAACAAAGGCAACATGCAGGTGAAGATGGCTAACTTCAGCTGTTTCTTAAAAAAGTATAAATTGTCACTGTTCCTAAATGAACTCTTCCTCTGGGAGACTTGGGAGGAAGCCAGTGCAAAAATTGGTCCTTTTGTAGAAGATGCTTTGTTTTGCTGCCCCTGGGAATTTACTATTTTTAACCTAAGTTAAATTAATACAATGGCTATCACATTAGTGCAATAGTAAAATAGAAAGTGTTTTCCATATCTCCATTTAGGTTTCAAGATCTGGTAAATTGTTTGAAGTATTATGGAAATGTTCTGGTTTGATTTTTTTTCTAGACAATTGGAAAAGATTTTATTTACAACAAATAAAATTTGCATAAATACCTTCCCAATACAGTGTCATTCCTGATTTCCCATGCCCACTTCCTTATAGCATAAGCACTTATTCTGTCCTGTTTTCTTTATGCTCAGTCACTGTGGAATCAATGTTGGAAATATCAAGCCTTTCTCTTTCATGTAATCCGTCTATAGCAGTTAGAACAGGACCAGTATTGTGGTTGGGAAGAATCTCGTCTGACTGAATGGATTTCTTAGTTTCATCTTTGTTCTCTAGCTTCCCCTTTATTGATGCTACCAGGACTTTTAGTAAAGCATTCTCCGTAAGGAGATTTTCTGATGCATCTGCTAATTCTTGAAGCTTTTCAGCCATTTCTTCTAATTCTCTGTTCTTCTGTTCATACAGTGCCTGTAACTGTTCACTGTGGAGCTGAAGGATACTGTGTTGCTTTTCCAGTGTAAGCTTCTGCTGCTGTAGTTTATGTTCTTCTCTTCTGGCTTCAGAAAGTTGGGCTTTCAGCTGATCTTGAGCCTGATGTAGTGCACTGACTTCTGATCTCAATTTCTGAATCTCACTCTTTAAGTGGGAGATATGCTCTTCTTGTAATTTTCTCTCTCTCTGTGGACATTCTTTAGTGCAGGGTTCTGAGTCAAGTGCAGCTGATGGTAAACGTGAGTAATGCAAAATGAACTTAAGCAGATTAGGAAGAGTAACTGAAAAATCTTCAGGAAACTTCACACTTTTGTCCTTCCTATAAAAATACACATTTAAATTACTTCAGAGAGGTAGCCAAGTTAGTCTGTACAGGATAAACTTAAAAAACAACAAATAGTCTGGTAGCACGTTAAAGACTATCAAAACATGTTGATGGTATCATGAGCTTTCATGGGCATAACCCACTTCTCCAGATGACTGGAGTATTAAAAGTTCCTCCCCACCCCCTTCCCTTATTTATTTTTGGATCTGGACCACGAAAGCTCATGATACAATCTATATGTTTTGTTAGTTTTTAAGGTGCTACTAGACTATACAGGGTGTTGACATCTTTAATTTGCAATACCAATTTTTAAAAAATTTAGTGTCCATGAGCTGACCATGAGTCTTGCATCTAAAGGCAACTTTCTGCTTAAATGCTTTTGAAGCATAAGATCTGTAGTTTGTTAAAGTTTCCTGTCATAGAATTTCCTGTCATAGAAATACCCATTTGAAAATTTGGTCTTGGGGAAAAAGACATTGCATCATAAAAGCGTATATTAGTTTGCCAAATCACTAAGTAAAGTTTGTATGCTACCAGAAAACTTCTACACCTTATTTCTGAAGCAAGTATTCCTAGGGAAGAATTATTGCTCTTTCATTCAGTGACAGAGGTAAACCTGCTCCTACACAGAGCTTGGGCTTACTTTATGATACCCTACTGTGAAGTACAAGCCATAACTTCATTTTGAAGCCTGGACACTACTAAAGCAAACATTTAACCAGTGAATGAAATTGTAGACACATGGCACGACAAACAGGTTCAAGTGCATCAGACATACCCCTTTTCAGTGTGCATTACTGCTAAGTTTAAACTATTCAAACTTACTCCATTTGATAAGTTTCCCCCACACATTCACCCTGCAGTGGTACTACAACAAGTTTAAGGAACACAGATAATATTTTACCTCTCAATACAGGTCTGCGCTACAAGGAAAGTCAGCTTAACATGTCCAATTCTGGCTACAGAGATAATGTAGCTGGAGTCCAGGTACCTTAAGCTGAGCTAGGGAACCGTCCTAACTGCTGGAGGTCACATTTCCCTCAATACCTCGTATTTTTAAGTACAGTGCTTTAAGCACAGTATAACTGAGCAGAACTTGAGCCCCAGAAGCATACATTCCAAATCTAGGGAATCTGCCTGCATTAGAGGGTAAAAGAACAGAATATGGACCAGGGTTTACACCAATCATCTTTTCTCCTGGTTGAACAGTTTATTAAATCCAAGAGATAAAACAGCTTTTAAAAGCTACTCTTTTCCATACCTCTAGAACAGATCGCAAGTAACTAGCCCCTGCCTCACTTTTAGAGTCATGAAAAGGAACAAAATGCTAAACCAGCTTACGTACAGGAAAGAGTTGTGTAATAGTCCTGGTGGATACTAAATAAATATATATGGAGCCATAAGAAAACAGGTTAAATGTCAGGAAGAATAAAGCTTTCCTTTTATTTAGAGAATAATGAAGGGTTTCTACAGAAAATTTAGTTACTCTTATGTGTTAAGTAACCAGTTAATCTTCAGTCATAAAATACTGACCCTTACATACTATAACAGAAACCAGATGAAAGGCCCCGCTAAAGAAAATCAGACCTTTCCTTTCTGCTTTGTAAGAATCTGAGATTTAAGAGCTAGGTGTCCAAAGCATTGATGATGACGGCCAGAGTCCTGTTGTGGGGCAGTATTAGTGACAGAAGACTGTCTTTTTTAGTTTAGTTTTGAAGCCATAGATTTAGAGAAGCTACCACTCATACTTTCTATTTTAAAGCAAAAGGTATGAAAGGCCTTACTCTGTATATTACACAGTATTAATAAGTAGAGAAAGCATCCTCTTAAGAATAAATGCTCTTAAGAATATATTTCTCAGCTGAAGAGAAAGATTCTTTCCTACTCCTGTCCTTGCCCTAAACAAATTACTGGAATATGCAGTACTCAGTCCCCGTACATCATTTCAATCAAAAATGCTCAACAACAATCATCGTCATATTGCACTCTTTCAGATGGGTTTTTAAACTGAGGGCTCCCCACAAAATAGCACATTTAGATTTCAAAATAGACCCAATATAAGGGAACTTAAAAACCAATGACAATGGTCTTGTAGCACCTTAAAGGCTAACAAAAACATATAAATAGTAATATAAATAAATTTCATTAGTCTCTCAGGTGCTACGGGACCATTATTGTTTTTTAAGTTACAGACTAACATGGCTATCCCTCTGAGACCAATATAAAGGGCTTCACAAAACGTACATTTTTACAAAGTTAAATCAAATGCAGAAGTAATTAGTGGGTTTTAGTGTCTAAAGAAACATTTTTGAATGGAAAAATAATATACAATACACCTTTCTGCCTCCACCCCCTCCAATTTAGCTTTTTTCACTTTTGATATGAAAATAAAACAATCTTTCACTACAGAACAATGATTTTTCTGGATAGATGCAATTAATTTTATATGAGTCTGCCCTAATTCAACCATTATGGTGGTAACAAAATAAAAACTTTATCCAGTATAATGTGTACTGTTTCCCTTATAATAGATATCATACTATGAAGTTTCCAGATAAAAATTAACTTATCACTACCTACTGGAAATTAGTGCAAAGCTATCATATTTCCACAATTCTAATCAGGAAACCTGTACTTAAAACAAGTATTGAACATGATGTACACTTTTATGTATTAACTAGCAAAATCCTGTCAGCCTCAACTAATCTCAGGTTTGAATCAAACAATGTTAAAGGTGGTAAGGAGAACTGAACATGGGACTCGCTATCTTATGCTACAGAACTTCGCAGAGCAAAGAAAAAACTTGTGTATACTCAGCAAATAACTCCAACCACGATTATAATCAGGGTTTGACAAGTGGGGGTGAGCCTCGCTCGCCAGCCGCGCGGTTTGGCACGCTGCGCATGCGCAGACCGTGCTGTGCATGCGCTGATCACTCTGCAGTGCCGTGCTGGGCTAAAATCTACTCACCACAGGCAAGTAGATTGCCCTAATTGTCGCACCCTGATTATAATCCTTCCACCCAAGTTCAGGGATTTATAAAAAAACACTTGCTACACTCTTTTCTACAAAATCCCTTTTTTGCCAAATCAGTAACCAGATTCACAGCAGGTAATATGTACACCAGTGTTTCTTAAACTGTGTTCTGTGGCACACTGGTGTGCCGACAGGCAATCGGAGATGTGCAGCGGAGAACAACAGAATTCAAAATGGCTGCTCTTAAAGGGGCAGGCAATTTTTTTTTCTCAATAACTTTCCCCTGACCCTTCCCCCCCCCCATCAGTAACTTTCCCCCGACCCTTTTTCCCCTAACCTTTTTTTTCTTTTTGCTTAACAAAAAAATCCTTGGTGTTCCTCGTAAAAAAAAAAAAATATTGTTTGGTGTTCCTTGGTCTTAAAAGGTTTAAGAAACACTGATGTACACAGTGTGATCCATCACATTGGATAAACTCATATTGATCACTCCCAGTAAGTACTGAGCGGGTAGCCTGGCTGTAAATTAATCAAAGTAAGATGGATAAAAGCACTTTATGTGGAATACAACCAAAATGTACTTACTATTCAGAAAAAAGAACACTAGCCCAGTCCTAGTATTGAATCAATCAGCACAATCTATGTTCAGACCAGGAAGTTAAAAACAAAACCAAACCCCAAAACAGACGTGGATGTTTCAAAGATGTCTAAATGATAGGCGTGCTATACCTTATACAGCTCCCTAAACCAAAACAGTAAAAAACTCCTAATTCTATTTAGCTGCCTGTTCCATGAAAGGAACAGATAAACCAGAATGTTTATCATGCTTAGTAAGTTTTGCTGAACTAAGGATAAAAGTCTTATTACCATAAAATACAAAAGTTAGAAGCTTCAGATCACAGAATCAAACAACTGGGAGAGACCTCAGGAGATCATTGAGTCCAACCCTCTGCCCAAAGCAGGACCAATCCCAAAAAAATCATCCTAGTTAGGGCTTTGTCAAAATGGGACTTAAAACCTCTAGGGATGGAGAGTCCACAGCTTCCCTAGGTAACCCATTCCAGTACTTCACCACTCTCCTAGTAAAATATCCAACCTAGACCTCCCCTATTGCAACTTGAGACCATTGCTCCTTGTTCTGTCATCAGCCACCACTGAGAACAGCCTCACACCATTCTCTTTGAAAACCCCTACAGGTAGTTAAAGGCTGCTATCAAATCCCCCCTCACTCTTCTCTTCGGTAAGCTCAAATCCCTCAGCCTCTCCTCATAAGTCAAGTGCTGCAGCCCCCTAATCATTTTGGTTGCCCTCCACTGGACTTTCTCCAATGCAGTGGTTCCCACCCCTTTTTATGGCGCAGACTGTCAAACCCATTCACAAACATTTGGTGGACTAGTAACATTTATTTACATATTTGCCTATTGATTTTGCAAATAATAAATATGCAAATAAAATGTTGCCAGTCCTCCTAGCTCCAACTGCCTAATACCACCCTTTGACTCCCCACTTCTATGCTCTTTGACCCTTTAACCTCTGACCCCTATAGTCCATGCCAACACCCTCTTCCCCTGTGACTCCCATCCCCCCATTTACTTCCACCCTACCCACCCCCGCACTCACCGGACGGAGCATAGCTGTTACTGCCATGTGGGCAGGGAGAGCGGCCCTCCTCCTTAGCACCCCTTTCCTCCCCAGCGCGTCTTGCACCCACATGGGTTGGGGAGAGGGGGAGAAGCATGGAGCACCAGCCAGTGCCTCCTGCTCCGCCTCCTCCTGCTACCACCTCAGCCCCAGTGCTGCTGCTGGCAAAAGCAGCCACCCGAGCAGGAGGGAGAAGGAAGCCTTGGGAAAGCATCTCTTGCTCCGCCTCCCTCCTTCTTTGAGCCCTTTCCCTCCCCAAGTGCGTTTCCCCAAGCGCAGAGTGGGGAGGAAGCCTCTTGCTGCCACCCCCGAGCCACCACAGCTGCTAGAGGTGAGCTGCTGGGAACATCTGGCTTGAAGTCCGACAGCCACCATGGCCTGGCAGCCAGCAGTTTGTGGCCTGGCAGCGGACTGCAGATGGCGGTTGGGAACCGCTGCTCTAATGCATCCATATCCCTTCTGTAATGGGGAGCCCAGAATTGGATTCAATACTCCGGATGTTGCCTCAGCAGTGCCAAATAAAGGGGAATAATCATTTCCCTAGATCTTCTCACAGTCCTTGTAATGCACCCCAATATGCCATTAGCCTTCTTGGCTACAAGGGCCTACTGTTGACTCATATCCAGCTTGTCATCTACTGTAATCCCCAGGTCCTTTTCTGCAGAACTACTACTTAGCCATTCGGTCCCCAGCCTGTAGCAGTGCTTGGGATTCTTCTGTCCCAAGTGCAGGACTCTGCACTTGTCCTTGTTGAACCTCATCAGATTTCTTTTGGCCCAATCCTCCAATTTGTCTTGGTCACTCTGGACCCTGCCCTCCTAAGTATCTACCTATCCCTCCCACCAGCTTAGTGTCATCTGTGAACTTGTTGAGGGTGCAATTCATCCCCTCATCCAAGTCATTAATAAAAATGTTGAACAAAACCAGACCCAGTACTGACTCCTGAGGCACTCTGCTTGATACCCACTTCCAGCCAGACTGTTGATCACTACCTACTGAGCCCGACAATCTAGCCAACTTTCTTTCCACCTTACAGTCCATTTATCCAATCTGTACTTCCTTAGCTTGCTGGCAAGATCACTTTGGGAGACCATATCGAATGTCTTGCTAAAGTCAAGGTATATCACATCCACCACCTTTCCTATATCCACAGATTCCCTAAAGTAAAAGCTCAACAGTGAAGTACAACAAATTCATTGCTCTTAACACCAAGATCATGCAAGTTGGTGAGAAAGGCAGACTTCTCTTTAAAAACAAAGGCAACCTAGTTTCCCTGCCTAAATTAATTGAGAATTTTGAGGAGTATGGTGGAGATGGAGCACAAAAACAATTCATTATGGCCAAAAATCAGGAATCCTGGTAGATGACTATCTACTTCACTGACTCTTTGGTTAATTTTTATTGTAATTAAAGGTATCTTTACACACTGCCTACACATATATTGTTTAATTTTACTGAATTCAGAAGCTCAGAAAAATATATACATGTACATTTCAGAGTACACGGTACATTACAGTTTTTTAGATTCCCAATTTTATATTTGAAAATGAGAGAGAATAAAGCTTTCTAAAAGTGAAAGGTTTATTATTTTGATAATTAACCCAAATAGAAACCCTTCCAAACCCAGAGGCTACGTCTAGATTGCATCCTTTTTTCGTAAAAGGGATGCAAATTAGACGTATCGCAATTGCTAATAAAGCGGGGATTTAAATCTCTTCTGCTTCATTAGCATAAAAATGACTGCCGCTTTTTTTCGGCACGGAGCTTTGCCGGAAAAAAGCGCCAGTCTAGACGCGGACCTTTCGGAAAATAAAGCCTTTTCCGAAAGATCCCTTATCTCATAGTAGATATTAATCTACTAAAGATTTATTTTTAAATAAAAAAGTACCAGCAAACTCTCCACGTCTACTGTGTTACATTTAATGCAGAAGCTAGCTCTTCCCTTATGAAAGGTTGATGATTTGCTAATGAGTCAGACTGAAAAAAAGTGCTTTGCAATACTAACATTCTCTGCAATGTAAGTTAGAGCACTGCACTGTGACTGATCATCGTTACTATAAAACAGAGTCAATAACATTAAAGACCCCGATCATGGCTGATGAAAGAACTGTCATATTTCCTAAAAATATCTAAAACTCATGTTTTGTGAAATATTAAATGCAGCTTGCATTTCAACAACCACAGCGACAGTTCACACAGGAAATTCTTACATGATGTAACTTGGTTAATGTGTGTGGCTTTCGTCTGAACGCTGGAGCAGAGTGTTTGATATATTCATAGGTTGAAATAAAACAGCTTTAACAAACAGTACAGAAGAACACTGTAAGAAAAGTTAGTGTTTACAAAAGATTATGTTTGCAGTTTGACTCATCATATGCAGACATGACACACTCAAACCAATACAATTTTAAAACATTTTAACAGTTTCTTGCTCAAGGAGACTTTTGATAATAAATGTACCTCCTTCCTCTCTTATATTTCAAATATGTGTTTTTTCAGGCTACAGGTTGAACCTCACTAGTCCAGCACCCTCGGGATGGGAGTGGTCCCAAACAAGGGAATTTGCGGGACAAAGGGAGGTCAGGTGTTCGGGCTCTCCTGGGGCTCCCCTCCTGGCTGCTGCTCCGGGAGTACCTGGAGGCTTGACCTTCTCTGGCTCACCTGCCTGGCTGTGCTCCTGGGGTGCCCTGCTCCCAGCACAGCGGCACCTGTTCCAAGGGCTCCCTGCCCCCCAGTCACTGACAATGCAAGCTGTCGCTGACCAGACCGGCTCCACTCCCAGCCCCACACAAGCTCTGGGGTCAGGGCTCTCTGGTCTAGCAACACTTTTGGTCCTGCCAGACCAGGGATGTTGCCGGATGAGAGAGGTTCAACCTGTACCTATTTTCTCCTATTCACACCATATTCTCTTTCTCCTTGATCCTGAAGTAAAACCATCATGTTGCATTTATGACTTCAGATACATTTTGGCAACATAACTGATGTCACAAATCAGGATTAACAACTTCACTAATGGAGCAAGAAACAAGAAGAAAATAAGATCCAACTTAAACACCAATAGAGAGAACCTAGCAGATTAAGTAAATGGTGTAAATCAGCGTCTCAAGGTTTTTTTTTATAAAGTACCCCTTTAAAAAAATTATAAGCACCCCCAGCACCTACAGTTTTCAGACACACAATTTTTTTTCTACCATTGCAACACATTTGTTTAAACAACTTAATTGTAGCCAGGTGGGTGATGACATTTTTGGGTGTAAAAAGTACAAAAATAATAAAGCGCTGTAAAACTTAAAACATAAATTCAATTTTCTTCAAATTTCATTTGTGTTGACGTACCCCTCAGACTTTTCTCAAGTACCCCTACTTTCAAGTAGGAATAAGAAATCCTCCGGAAAAGGGCTTATTTTCCGGAGAATCATGTCTAGACTGGCGCTTTTCTCCGGCTTATCCCCAAGCCGGGCTACGCTGCTGATGCGGGGGGGGGGGTGTTCTTTTGGAGCAAAGCTTATTGTGCCACCTCACAGCCTTTTAACTCCTCTCCACAGCGCCACGGGGAAGGGGCGATGGGGATGCGTTGTACTGAGCTGCTGGTGAGGATGGGGGTAATGCACATCTCCAGGTTCAGTGGCCCTCCCCGCTGAAGCACCCTGGGAAGGCTGCGAGACAGGAAACGAACTAGGAAAGGAGGCCGTGGAACTGATTTTTTTTTCTCCCCACTCTCACCTGCCCCCCAACTTGAAACTGCCCTGGGTCTCACCAGAGCTGCCACATGCCGCAGCACAGCCCAGTGCTGCGGCGCGTGTGCAGAGCGGCTGTTAACGTCTGGGCGCTCGGCTCCGAACATTCAATTTGATAAGTGGGTGCCACTGCCCCCTCCCTGGATCCCCTTCGCAGGACAAAATCCCGGACATTTTTTGCCAAATTTCACTTGTGTTGGGCAGCCAGACTTCTCTCGCGTACCCCTAAGGGTATGCATACCACCAGTTCAGAAAAACTGGTGTACATATTCTCTCTCTACTGAAGCTTGCTCTAGTGTGAAAATTCCTCATACAAAGAGAAAGAATATGAAACTGCCCACACCTCAGCAGACAATGGTTCACACAGAAAAAAAAATCAGTTCCTTACCCTTCAAACACTTCATCATGTGTAATTTTAATCACGAGAACTAGGGGGTGGTACCCCCTACCTGCTAGGCTCACCAACCCCCTGTTTCTGGGGGTAAGCAGTCCCGGATCTCCCCCTGCTTATTCTTGCCTATTACCATTTTAAAAAAATAAATTCCAGACAACTTTCTATTTTCATTTCGTTTTTAAATTCTTAACTTCAATTGTTTTTTTTTTTTAAATTCTCTTAAGAGACAAAAGATATGGATTAGTTTAACCTTTGTCTCGGTGTATGCCTATTCTAACGTTTTTTCTGAAAGAAAACTGCAATAAGTCTTGCATCTTACTGCAAGAATCCATTGTATGATCCTTTGACATCTCTCTATCTCTTTTTTTAATCCTGCCTCTTTTTCTATCATTCTCTTCCCCCCAGGTCTCACTCACTAGTCAATTTTGAAAATGCCAAAAGAACTGTTGCACAACCGAGGGGGAAAATTAATTAGGAAATAAGGTTAATAATTTGCTATTTACAAATAAATACTGACAAACTATGAAATAATGAAACTTGGAAGACAATTCACTTTCAGCAAATCATTTGTCCACAAAAATCTATTTCAGAAAGTGCATTGGTATTAAAGATAAATACTTAGAAATGAGCAATTCTTTGACTTTCCTCTCCTGTGAGGCTAACAACCAGACTCAATCTTCAAGCTCCAAGAAATGGAAGAAAAAAATTACCTTTTATAAGGAAAAAACAAAATGGTAGGGAGACGATCTGTCATAAATTCCCAAGGAAGGTCATTTCGAGTGACATCAATTCTGTAAAAAAAACAAAACAAAAAGAAAAAATAAACTCATGAACTGAGCTGAACATTCCATTACTTATGCTTCTGAAATATCTTATTTTATTATTGTTTTGGATGGGGATTAGAGGATGCATAATCTGGAGAAAATATGCCTAAACATATTCTGTCACAAGAAATTACTAGCGGCACAAAGAAAGAGGACCCAAATCAAATAAGTGTGAGAACCCCTAATATATATGACACCTAGTAGATAAACTTAAAAAACAACAAATAGTCTGGTAGGACTCTACAGACTAACAAAACATGTAGATAGTATTCATGAGCTTTCGCGGGCAAGCCCACTTCTTCAGATGACCAGAGTGTTGGATGTCCAGAACCAAAAATGGACATCCAACACACTAGTCATCTGAAGAAGTGGGCTGTGCCCATGAAAGCTCACGATACCATCTACAGGCAGTCCCCGGGTTACGTACAAGATAGGGACCATAAGTTTGTTCTTAAGTTGAATTTGTATGTAAGTCGGAACTGGCGTCCAGATTCAGCCGCTGTTGAAACTGACCAGCAGCGGCTGAATCGGACACGCCTGGGGCAGAGCAGCTGGAGTGCTGCTGGGTTGGTCTGGTAGCGCCGACGTTGGTAGCACCGACCGGCAGCACCCCAGCTGCTCTGCCCCCGGGGTCCCCAAGTCAGCCGCTGCTGAAACTGATCAGCGGCTGATTCCAGGAAGCCTGGGACAGAGCAGCTGGGGTGCTGCCGGGTTAGTCGCCGCAGGCGTCCAGATTCAGCCGCTGTTGAAACTGATCAGCGGCTGATTCCAGGAAGCCTGGGACAGAGCAGCTGGGGTGCTGCCGGGTTAGTCGCCGCAGGCGTCCAGATTCAGCCGCTGTTGAAACTGACCAGCAGCGGCTGAATCGGACACGCCTGGGGCAGAGCAGCTGGAGTGCTGCTGGGTTGGTCTGGTAGCGCCGACGTTGGTAGCACCGACCGGCAGCACCCCAGCTGCTCTACCCCAGGTGTCGGCGAGAAAAGCCTGGTCTGCTGTGGCAGTGTGTTGAGGTGCAGGAAGCAGCGGAGGAGGCCGGTTCTGGCAGGGGTTTCCAGGCTCTGTGCTGGCAACAAGCTCTTTTCCATTAATGGCATTTCAAAGCCCCAGTCAGGTGACAGGAGTAATTTATGACATGCAGTGGCAGTTACCAAAGTGGCGGCTGTTATTAACATTCTGCTGCCTGTGTCACACACAGGCTGCTCTCTGTTTGGGATGGGGGGGGTATGTGTCTTGCAGTCCTGACTGGGACTGTTTGTTTAATCAAGGATGTTCTCAAGCTGGGGCTTCCTTTGACTGGCAACATTGATTCCTTCCTCTGTTTCCTCCCCACAGCCTGCAGCCACTGTTGAGCTGCTGTGGATTCTCTCCCTTACTGACAGGGATGGGGAGCTGCAGAGAATTCCCAATCCCACTCACTGCTGCCTGAAACGACTGGAGGGCTGAGGGTGATTCTCTCCCCCTCACCCATGTACTCCCTTCTGTGTGGAAAGGAAGCTCCCATATCCACTGGGCATTGCTGGAATTTGCTCTATGTTGCAGACACAACTTTTGCCAAGGTTAGGAGGTGGATGATGGGCAGTTTTCTGCTGTTTCCTTTTCAGGATCAGAGAAGTGAATCAAGCAGCAATTCAAAGCAGTGAGCCCAGCCCATGCCCCCCTAAACATCTCCCTGTCCCATTAAACACCTTTCAAGGTAAAGGCAACAGCTCCCCAGCAAATCAGCCTGAGGCTACAGTAGCATCATAGCCTGTGGGGAAGGCAGAGTGAGACTAGTTCAGCTAGTGCTTTGTTAAGGCACCCTCTGCTACATGAAAACAATGGAGGGAGGAAGGAGATGTGAGACTGACCAAGTTCAACTGTCAGTGCCTCCACGATCAACCAGTCGATCACGAATGACTGATTGGGGGCAGCTGGTGCAGAATGTACAGTGTCAGCTGCATTCTGTCTTGGGAAAAATCTGGAAAGCTATTTGTTATACTCTCACTGTTCATAAAATAAAATACTAACACAACAATTCATTTTAAAACTTTTAACTTGATTCGCAGAAAACCAGACCTCCTACTATAAACACTACCACCAGAAGAGAGAGATTTTCAGATCTCAGACGGCTCATCACAGAATGCATTCATTCAGCTGTGCTTATTCCAGGATACCACAAATTTAGTGTGCTTTGGACAACACTGAAACTTTTGAGGTTCATCCACTACAACAGGAGACCACTGTTTTACTGATGGGTACAGAATGTCAATCTGTAGATTTTTTTTTAATTACAGCAGGTTGACTTTAAATTAACAGTGCTTTTTTAAGTATCTTAACTGCATTAGCTCTGCCTACACTGAAGACTTAGTCATTGAGCCTTGGGGCCTATCCATGCAGTTTTTGTACTGCTTTAACTACAATGATTTAGAAACTGATATTTTGAGGTACACCAGTCCTTCTACTGACTGATGGGAAACAGAAGGAGGCATGAGATCGTTTTTGTGGCAATGGGCCCTACAAAGTGGATTCTCAATTAAATCTGTCCAACCCCTTTATTTCCCTTGCTAAAATCTTCCTTGCTTGTTTCTATGTGCTTGCACTTTAACAACAGTGGAATATTATATTTATATTATGCTGTCCCTGTTGTGCCCAGTAGAAGATGGAGTCTGCTTAAATAAAATTATTCATAATTATCTGACTCTTGTGTAGGAAAAGAAAAAAATAATTTGGAGAATAGCACAAGTAACCCCACTGTACTGCGTCTGGAAATAGAGCAAGGGTGGACAATAAAAGTGTGGCGGTTCACCAGGATTAGCCCCGGTGGCGACCTACCAGGGACTAACTCTGGGGAACTGGATTGGGTCAGTAAGCCGGTATTTACCCACCCCTGGAATAAAAAGAAGATGGGAACAGACACAGAATCAGCTCTGCAATAAAACTGAAATTCAGCAATCAAAGCACAAGGGTTGCTGGTGCCAGAACTGAGAGTAGAATTTTGAACTGACTTAGAAAAGCAGGTTTTAGGACTGTATTAACAGCTCATTAAAATCAAATAAAGGAGATAAATGTGCCATTTTTTAAATTAAAAGTTTTTAATTTTTTCCCTAATAATATAAGAATTACGTAACTGTTTATCAAACCATTTCAGACATTCTTGCATCATTATTAGTCTATGCAGAGTATGGTGCAATAAGCTAAATATTATCAGGAAAAAGGAATGGCAAAACTTGGAATGAAGTATTATACAGACCAGTGGTTCTCAATGTATGGGGCAGGCATAGCAATGTGTCAAAGGAGACACGAGTTGTGTGCTTTTAAGTGCTTTGGCTGGAACACTGGGTGGCTGGAGCTCATGCAGAAGGGCCACGCACATCCAGGAGGCAGGGATAAGAGAGGCAGCTGGAGCCCTGCAACCTCAAATATCACTTTTCACATTGGCACCCTTATTTCTGTGCTTACTGGTATAACACTGCCTTCAGAGCTGGATGCCCAGTCAGCAGCCATTGCTCTCCACTCTGCCCTCAGAGCTAGGTGGTAGGATGATCTTGTGAGAGGGGATGTGTGTGTAACAACAACAGGCACAAAGAAGGGGATCTGTTAGTATAATAGTCACTATTTACATGAAAACAAAAGGTATATAACAAAGAGAAGAGAAACAGAATCTACACTAAATACGGTTTAAATTTTTTTCCTTTGAGCTGATGAGTTCATATCACTCAATTTTGAGTAAACAGACTAAAATAGAATGAAAGAGTAATATTCTAAACTTATTAGTAATGGTATAATACATGGCTTATAATGAATTCATAGGACCTGTGTCTAATCTGATAGGCATTCAATCTTAATTTTCAATTCAACATAAATTAGTGGAGATTAATGGCATCATATTAACTTTACAAGCTACATAATGTACATATATGCATGTCTGGAAGTCTAAGTGGTTAAAAATAGTGTGGAAAATAAAAAAAATTTTTTACCTTGCCACAGTGAAGTTGTTTGGAGGCAGAAGTCGAGCTAGCTGGATAAAGATGTGATTAAGAGAAGCACAGAATCCACACCATTGTGCATAATAGAGCAGCAAGACATCCTGGAGGTGGGTTGGGGGAGGGGGGAGAAGAAAAGTTCAGTTAGTATCTGGGGTTTATTTACATAAGCAGAAATAGTAATCAATGTGTTAAACAAAACATCTAAGCTATTTAAAGACAAAAGAAAATGTAATCTCATCTTTTTACACCCTGTCCATTATGCAATGGTGCCCTGTGGCTCCCAAAGCAAAAAGAAAAGAAATTCCCAACAAGAGGTGTATCCTCCAGCAGGAGCGGTGATGCAGAGGGCATGTTGAAAGCATAGCCTGGGAAAAGGAGATATGTTTGTAACATTTTGATGCCTCAGCTGCAACTCGCAGGCAGATGCAAGCCTTTGGGAATATACTTTCTGTCTGGAGTTCAACCAACCCATGATGGCCCCATCATAGGGGAGGTGCAAAAGTGACATGAAACATCTTTAATTTGGGAGACCCTCCATCCCATTTTTAACAGGACAGTCCTTATTTAAACCCTTTTGCAGGTGTCCCAACCTTTCCTTTTAAAAAAATGGGCCAACTGTCCAATATTTTTGCTCCCAATGCTGGTCAGTCAGTCCACAGTTAGCACAGCCACAGTAGCTTCTTGTTTGTGGCTGGCAGGTGAATGTGGGCATGTAGTGGCCAGCATATAGTGGTCTCAGGCAGGGTGAAGGGGAGAAAGACACGAAGCCAGGTAGGAGGACAAGCAACCCCGTGAGTGATAGAGGGGCAAGGGTGTGCAAGAATGAGTGAGGAGTGTGTGTCATGTGAAAACGAAAACAGGATTTCTCAAGGAGGGATCTGCCAGCCCTTTTAGGCCATGGGTCTGAAGCCCTGATCCCAGGTAGTCCCTCCTGCACTTAATTCCCAGCACCACCTCAGGCTGAAACCCCAATACCTAGGGCCACCCCCTAATGAATTCCTAACACCCCTTAGACTGTTAGGCCTGAACCACAGTGCCCTGAACCACAGTGCCTCCCAAATCCCCAGCACCCCTCCAAGCTGAAACACTGATCAGCAGTGCCCCCATAAATCCTCAGCACACACACACCCTACTGAAACCCCAATCCCTGCCCCCCTCCCATCCGAGTGGTGGGAGTGGCAGGGCTGAGTCCTGCATGACCAGTGCTCCCTGTGGGAGAGAAGCCTCCAGAGCGTGTGGACAGAGCTGTGGGTCTCTCTAGCAAGTGCAGTGCAGTCCAGGGGACAGTTCAATGGCTCGCTCTCTCCCTGCCCAGGTCAGAGGCAGGAGCCTGAGCCACAGGGCAGCCACTTCTCTGACTGATGCCATGGCGCAGGCAGACTGGTGCTCTCTCCTCTACTGCTGGTGCTGGGGGTTAAAGCTGCCTCCCAGCCCCCTTTGTTCACAGCCACAGCTCCTAGCTACCCCCTGCCTGCACAAAGCTACCCCCCACAGCTTGCATACAACCCCTAGCTATGCCCTCCCTGTCCCTTGAGCTACCCACTGTCTTCACGGCCTCTAGTTACTACCTTACTATCCCCTGATCATACACAGCTACCTGCTCCCTGCACACTGAGCCACATGCAGCCCTTAACTACCCTCTGCCTGTACCCTGAGCTACCTCCCTGCTCTCACACAGTACTTAGTTACACCCTGCCTAACTTCTGGGCTATACCCTAGCCCAGTGTTTTTCAAACCTTTTGGCCCGTGGCCCACCTGGCTCAATGGAAACCTTTCCGTGAACCACCAGTTGCTAATGGAAAGTCACCATTAATTACATAATTACACAAGCCATCTTGCTAGTGCTGCAGCAACAGAGAATGGTTTAATTTAACCAGTAAGAAAGGATATATTAATTTAAATTATTAAACAAATTAAGCACTTGAACTTCTCATGTTAGTTGATCAAACTTCATTTTAAATAAAGTAAAATATTAATTTATATCCAACACAAAAGGTTTCAATGTTCTCTTTATTTATGGTAGGGGTGGGGAACCTTTTTTGTGTCAGGGGCCACTGACCTACAGAAAAAAAAATTATTTGGGGACCACAGAAGTGAGAAACAAAAACAACCCCAAAAAACCCCAAACCAAAACAAAAAACAAACACAAATCCCCAACCCTCACTGATGTGGCCTCCAACTGACACTCACTCCTCTGGCACTCTTGCCCCACCGGGGGGAAGGGAAGGGGGAAGGGAGGACTGAGGTTCAGGGCTTCCCATAGGGATTCCAGGGTTAGTGGATTTTGTGGACCCTCCTAGCCTCTGGAGTTGGGACAAAAATGAAAGGTTCAGTGTGCAGAGCATGGCTGCCAGCAAGAGGGATGGGGGTGCAGGATCTGGGCAGCAGGTGGGATGTAGGAGGGGGTGAGGATGCAAGATCTGGGTGGGAGGTGGGATACAGGAGGGGGTGAGGGTGCAAGGTCTGGCCAGAGGGAGGGTACAGGAGCATGCTGGGAGTAGAGTGTCTGGCCACGAGGGACAGTGCAGGAGCAGGCTATGGGTAGGTGTCTGGCCAGTGAAGAGGGTGTAGGAGTGGGATGGGGCTATGGGGTCTCAACAGGAGGTGGTGGCGGTGGTGCATGAGGGGTCTGAGTGTGCAGGGGTCTGAGCATGGGGGGGACACTTATTTGCCTTCATGCCCTGCACCAGTCCCAGGAACCACCTCCCACTGTTCCCATTGGCTAGATTCTGGCCAATGGGAACAGCAGGGAAAGCTTCCCGGGAGCGGGCCAGTGTGCTGCTTTGCCCCCACCCGGGGAGGGGGAGCACTTCTTCCCTGTGAGCCCAATTGCACAGTGAGGCTCAGAGCTTTCTCTCTCTCCAACCTCAGTGGGAAGCCAGCGCCAGTGTGCCAACCATGTAGGAAAGGGAGGGCAAGGCTAGAGCACCAACGTGTGCTCCCTGCTGCCGGAGAAGGAGGAGGCTGAGCTTGAGTTGCAGACCACATGGAAGTTAGCCATGGACCCACTAGTGGTCCACAGACTGCAGTTTGAGAACCACTGCCTTAACCTCACACAGCCCCTAGGTACCACCTGCCTAATTCCTGGCTGTATTTTGTAAGTTATTTCTAGGACAGAAAACAAATGGCTCCATCTGCAGCCAGTAAAATCACTATACTCTTAACTAGTTCATAAAAGCAATGTTCATCATATATATCTCCTTTAGAGTCTGTGCAGGTTTGGGACCTGAGACTTTGAACATGTTCTTGATCTTGGATCTCAAATGTAATTTGTTGTGAGTTGCAACTATGAAAAGAGCAAACAGGCATTCTCCATCCCCACAATTATATCTGTATTTTTAAAAATAGTTATCAAGTAAGAATACAAAAGGCTAAAATCTCAGCTACAGGAAAGATACACACAGAACAGGAAGGCAGGGGGTGGGTCTTTAGCTGGTTTGGCTGATTTTCTGGCTGCTTTGTATCATAGTGGTCGCCTAAATTTAAACTGCTGTGAAGTATGGCTTTCAAGGAATACCCTTGTTTAAAATTATGTACACAATCAATGTAACTGTATGGATATGAGATTTAGTTTTAAACAATGAAAATTCAAAAGAATGAACTCTACAATCCTGTTCTTCAAAATGCGATTAATCCCTCAATGTAATTGCAGTGATGAGCTGTACCTTTTCATTCAAAAACACCACATCATGAAAGGTATTAGTAGTCACTTCAGTGATTACGTGCTGGGCATGAAAATGGACTGAGGAGTCACCAACAAGATGCCTTTTCAAGGGACTGTAGAGAATGCTGAAGTTTTGAATGAAGTTCTCTAAAATGAAAGAGAGACATCGAGAACATTATTCCAGCTTCATGTACCCATAATATCTAAGCAGAGCTGTCTCTTGTATATGGTGACTCGGGATGATGGCGCTGGGCCCCATGCTTTCGGCATATTGTGCTGCAGTGTGCAATGTTCTGTGTGGGGGACACTAGGTTGCCCCATAGGTGTGAGACTTGGGCTTGGGGGGCACTATGCTGGCCCAGGGAGCTAGCAGGGGGCTTGGAGCCAGAATCAGGCAGAAATATCAAACACACAGAAAACATAATTTCTTAAGGAAATTAGTCATGAGAAGTTCCTCTCTTAGGGTATGTCTACACTACAGAGTTAGTTCGAACTAACGGACGTTAGTTCGAACTAACTTTCATAGGCGCTACACTAGCGCTCCGTTAGTTCGAACCTGGAGCGCTTAGTTCAAACTAGGAAAACCTCATTTTACGAGGATTAAGTCTAGTTCGAACTAGCTAGTTCGAATTAAGGGGTGTGTAGACCCTTAATTCGAA